AGGGGGTGAGCGTACGACGAGTGAGCGAAAGCCCAAAGCAACGTGTAAGACGCTTTCGCGTCCGAACACGTGGAAAGATGTGGGTCCGGATGTATTCGATATCCGACCCGAACGTGAGCGCCAAGCGCGAGTTGCCGAGAGAGGTCGCGCGAGTAGTCTCGAGCGCGAACTCACGAAGCAAATATTCGAGAGAAAAAGCAAGAAAAAGCAAGAAGATAGTATTGATGATGATCCGCCACCATGCGGTGGCCTCGTGAATATATACATAGGAAACGGAGTTCGAACCTAACTTCTACAACTATATATCTGAGTAGACCCGGGACAGCGGCCTGAGGGTGTAGTGTGGCCCGAGGCGCCACACGAGCGTTCACTTACTCCGATCGTGTGGCCCTCGACAAGAAACCAAGAAGAAAAGATAGAAAAATAATCCTAGACTTATATAGAGTGTTACACGTGGACTGTCCGATTGAGTCTCTCTCTTCATTCTGGATGGGAAAGACCATGAACATTCGAACACAAAAGATAAATGAGAGCAGTGGAACTGCACAAACCTCCTCTTCAATCTCTGGATATATGGGATTGGAGGACAACAAGGATGATATTATTGGCTTAACTCCTCCTCTTCAGCGACGGAAAAGTGTTGATCTGCAGATTCTATCACCGGAGGAAAGGGCAGGATGGGAGTTTAGAAATATAAAAAAGCAACATGAATGAATTACTGCACGACAAAAGAAAGGGAGGAAGGAGACAAACATCTTCCTCCTCTTCCTCCTCGGAATCATCGAGGGGAGATCGGTGTCGGATCAGTCTTCGCCCTCGAAGGAGAGAGGGGGGCTCTTCGTATTCTTGCACATCTTCATCGCCCTGAGAACATTGGGGGGAAAAAAAAGGAAAAAAAACCCCATTGAAGGAGCATGAGGGCCCGTTCGGCTGCCATGCCAGGTTCATTCCAGGTTTCGCGCGACCTGGCATTTCGGCCCAATCGGGAAGGAGGAGATCGCCCGAGAGATAAGATTGTGAGACCCAAAAAGGGAAGTCGTGGCGCGTCTGTGAGTCACGCTCTGTCCGACTATGACATCGTTGTTTTGCCGCTTGTCGCTTGACCTCGACACGCTCTTCCTTCAAGTCAGGATGCCTCTCAGTGATGCACGGCGCGCTGCTGTTGCTCTTCTTGTACTTCTTGTCATAGCACTTGCTTCTGCTGCAGAAACTACACCGTATCACACCTCAATCCTCTCTGGAGAGGGATGGATGCTCGAGCTGTTGCGAGGTCAACCTGACCGGATACATTCCGAGCTCGGTTTCAAATACCACACCTTCCACATACTCTTGCAAGAACTTCGATTACTTGGCTATGGTGACTCCCGTCACTGTTCCCTTGAAGAGCAACTCGGCATCTTTCTGTATACTTGCCGTACAGGTCTCTCTGTTCGACATGTTGGTGAACGTTTTCAGCGGTCCAATGAGACCATCGCCAAGTAAGTACTATCATTGTTACTATAGAACTATTCTAACAGATTCATGCCGCAGGTACTTCCAGAAGATGTTGATCATATTCTCTTCCCTGCCATTCTACCCGACCTATGTCCATCTTTCCTCTACAGATGAACCTGTTCCACGCCGTATATATGACGACCCTCGCTTCTATCCTTTCTTCGAGAGAGCACTTGGAGCAATGGATGGAACACATATTGATGCAACAGCATCAGCAGAGGATGTGCAGAGCTTACGGAACCGGAAGGGAGGGGTCACACAGAATGTTCTTGCATGTTGTGATTTCGACCTGATGTTCACGTATGTGCTCAGTGGTGTGGAGGGAGCAGCAGCAGATGCATGGATCTATAACTTTGCTCGGCAGGTAGACTTTCGTGTCCCAGAGGGACGATTCTACCTGGGTGATGCAGGATTTGGTATATGTGACTCAGTGCTTGTTCCATACCGTGGAATCCGATATCATCTCGCAGAGTGGGGACGTGCTGGTGCTAAGTATGTTGTCCTCTCATTTAATTTGCATCATACTGAGTAAGATTTTTCTTAGACCGAGAACCAAGGAAGAACTATTTAATTTACGCCACTCCTCTCTCCGAAATGCGGTCGAACATATATTTGGCATTCTCAAGCAACGATTCTCCATCCTCCGAAATGGTTGTGAGTATTCTATGGAACTTCAAGCAAGAGTCCCTCCTGCCCTATGTGCTCTTCATAACTTCATTCGTGTCCACGATCCCACTGAAATCGACGACTTCTGTGATGTTCAAGCCGATCCACAGCCGTTGCAGTTTGGTGTGTTGGGAGAAGGACCTGCGGGACGGGCAGAGAGGAGAGTAGCGGATGACCGTCGAGATGTAATTGCTCAGGATATGTGGGATGCATATGTAGCGTTGTTGAGAGGGAGAGGTCAGACAATATTGGACTAGAGCAGCCAGATTAAGTAGCGTAGTAGATGGTAAACCATTAAGAAAGAGGTTAAAGAGGTAGACGGACAGCATTAGTCTAACGTAGGAGGTAGAGGTTGCATGGTAATACGGTGGCGAGCAAGAAGTTTACGAACATACTTAAGCCGGAGTCCAGGAGCCTCAATAGTAGAATACATATCAGCAGCCGCAGTATTAGTCTCAAACATCTCAACAAGATCAGCCATATCATCATCTGCACCAAAGATGAAGCAATCTTCCTCCGCTTTGGCGATGGATGCAATACCTCCACACCATTTGAGCGATCATCATCCTTTCCACTTGACTCTCTCCGCTTTCCACTACTGCTCGATTCACCCTGCTTCCCATCACCAGACCCCTCTGAACGTAGTAACTCCCGAATGTCGACACCGATGCGATCGATAGAGCGTGAGGTAGCGGTATCACGGACACGGGGCTCTGGAGTTGGGGGTGGTGGTGGTCAAGGTGGTGGAGGCAGTGGACGAGTGGTGGCAGTGGCAACATTGGTGGGAAAGTCTTCACCGCTGCTGTCACCATCCAGATGAATGATGTGATTGGCATTAGGAGGAGGTGCAGTGGGACGGCAGGCTGTCGAGTGACGTGCGGCAGGAATGGGAGCAATGGGAGGAGTGGCAACAGCGGGAGTGATGGTGGGAATGGCAGCACCAGGCTGAGTTGGATCAATGGGGTGGGATTGAGATGCTGAGAACGCGAACTTGGCCTTGACACGGGTTGGTATGATCTGTGATACAATATCCCAGTGAACCCATCCTTTGTTGCGGAAGGGAGCAGCATTTGGATGGGCCTACACCGCACAAGAATGCCTCAACACGGGTGGGAGGAAAGAAATGCTGAGAAACATGTACCGTCACATACTTAGTCCACCTCCTCATACACCAGAACTCGCCGGAGAGATACCGTGTCGTCCCCGGATACAGGTATCACAACACCAACACTCTCCTCCACAGGCAGGACCGCAGAGCCAATGCAAGAGACGATCCTGAGTGGGAGTTTAACGAGCAACACCACCCGGTGGAATCCAGACTATCCCACGAACGAGGACGAAGATTCACCAACAGCCCTCCTTCCAACGGTAGCGCTCAGTGAAGCACTCCCGCCCACCATCCTACTCTCAATCACCATCACTATCGCCCTTGGACTCTCCGCAAACAAACACGTTCTCCTTCGCCTCCGAGTCACCACCAGTGTTGCTAACGTCCTTATCCTCCTCGCCCTAACCCGCATCTCTCGTCACTCCGCCACCTTCTTCTACGCACTCTTCGCCGTCTCGTACCTCTCCCTGGTCAACGTCTCCCTTACCATCCTCCACTTCTTCCTTCAGTAATCGTGGCTCCTCCATCCGAAACCTCCGCCCCAGTCAAACTCCCCTGGTACGTCACCGGGAGCCGAAACAAGTATTACACCAAGTTCGAGAAGGGAGGATTCCTACCCACTCTTGCCCGCGATCAAAAGGAACCCCCCCTCTACGAGGTTGTCCCAGACCAAGACTTTGCTTCCTTCTCCTATCGAGACAGTCCAGCCAATCTAGTTGACCCAAACCCTACCTACTGGCCAACCGGATACGTTGGAGTAGAACTCCCCCGTTACGCATACTTTAGCGCCCTCCAAGGTTGTGTCGTTACCCCGAGACACCCTGACACCCACCAACGCACCCAAGTTGACTTCCCCATCTACCATCAAAATGCAACTAACGAGTGGTTCTACTTCCGAGGAAATTCCATCGTCCTCAACCGTACCCCTCAATCCTCACCTTCTCCGTCACCTCCACCCAACCCACCGCCACCTCCTCCTCCACCAAATCCTCCCGGAATGGACCAAGGAAGGAATCCCAACCCCCCGCCTCCGCGTGACCCCCCTCCTCGAAATGACAGCCCAGACGGAGGAGGAGGCGGAGGTAATGGCAGATGCCATACTAGTCGCAGCCGTGGAAGAGGAAACTCGAGGCCTCCTCAAAGACCTCCTGGCGGCTGTCATAACCGCCACCTGTACCCTACGTATATGACCTGTTTTTAATCCATTTTCTGTATTATTCGCCCCCGCACGCCACCCACGAACGACGCCACGGTTTCCACGAGTCCTCCACATTTTTATCCACATTTCTACCATTTTATTTCAACCATTTGAGCCTCGTCAAACCCCCACAAGCCACATAAGGAAACCAGGCCGGCAAGTCCCGCACTCGCGCGTCGAGCCTCGTTTCTTAAGTCTCGACCATCGTAAATTGTCTACCGTGACATTTCTCCTATCAACACACAACGGACTGAGTACCTGCATGGACCACAACATGCCAAGGAGTCTTCCCCAATTTATCTAAGGGTTTTACGATTTTATTCAAGCCATGCGCGAGGAGTGATCGCAGCTACGGAAGCTCGGTGCGAGCTTCCGGTTCCTGTGGAACGTTTCAGACTCCGACACGCTAGGGTTTCCACACCCCTTCGGACGAGGCTACAGGATGCAACGCTGGGGGGTTTCTCTTCGAACAAAATTCTAGAGGACTCTCTCAAACTCTAGCTGTCTATTGATCCAACAATCTCGGCGATTGGTCTACTGTGGAATATACTACAGCACGATCTCGGTCTCAACCTCGCTCAGGGCCATCAGATAGTGTTCCCCCTCGTGTAGCTCGACCAGTTCCCACTTAATCGCCGACGTTTTGATATAGAGAAGTTCCTACTGGTTCATACTATTATTCTACGATGTCTCCGTCTTTTATTCGTGCCTGACTACTCTAGGATAATCGTTTATGCTCGCAGAGCTCGTACCCATTGTCCTCCAGATCGTTTTTCCTTTCTCTTAGCCTCGTTTATTCGTCTTATCTTCTCTTCCTACCTTGGACTCCTTCGTTTACATGCTACAGACATGTGGCTTGTGTCGCTCAGTGTCCTTTCTAGTGCACCAACTTAGTGCACGATTATTTGTCTTTCCTCTTTGTTTCCCCTCTGATTATTTTGTCATACTTTTCGTTCTACTTACAATTGAAGCATTCTGGGATTTGTATAAATACTATGTAGCACTCACATGTATTTCCCCAGTTTTGTAGATCGTCTATTCCTGGGCTTTCTAATATACTCATCCCTCCACTACCTTTTTCCGCCGCTTTTCCGATTGTTTTCGTCTTGAGCCGTGGGGTATTTCCACTCCCGTATCGCCCGGTCGTGACAGCGGCAGTCCGTCTCCACCGTCTTCGGATGCCTACACCCATCGAACCTTCCAAGACCCCGATCCTGGTGATGCCCCCAAGGAAAACAAGCACGTTCCTAAGCCCCCACTCTTCGACGGCAAAGACTTCGACATCTTCTTCTCCTCGGCCCTATCCTATATGCGAGCCAACCCCAATCTATAACAGCCTCGCCATCCACTACCTTGAACGCAACGTTAGCTCTGCTATTTCTGAGAAGGTCTATCTTGAACAGGTCCTCCCTACGACCGTCGACGAATGGATCGAGCTGGCTACCAAGTGGGACCTCCGCGACCAAACCCACCGCCTGGCCACGACTCATAGAGCCCCCTTTGCCCCAACTCCATCATACCCGGCCCACCGCTCTCCCTCTCCATCTCCCGCTCCCCGCGCCCCGCACCCCGTCCCCTACGCCCTACCGCTCTCCCACCCCCTTCCAGCCTCAATCCGTCACAGTCGCTCCCCGCTCCCGTTCCCCCTCCCCCTCCCGGCCCCGCATATCCGACGCCGTCTTCCAGGACGCCCTGAAGAAAGGCATCTGTGTGTGGTGCAAGAAGGAGTGGAGCAAGGACCACAAGTGCCCTGAGCGTACCAAGTACCTTGGCCAAGTTCGGGCGGTGATTGTGGAGTTGCCGGAGGAAGATCGCGCCGAACTCTTAGACTCAGCTAGTTTGGATTTCTCATCCGGACGAAAGTGACGGCAGCCCTTTCGTCCCTCGGACTTTCTCATCTGCGTTCTATCTCTTTTTCAGGAAACGTACAAAACCCAAAAACATCCCTCCCTCTTACGTCTAGTTTCAGATCTCCTCGAACTCGATGTTCGCTGTACGATAAACAAAAGGAGCGTGTGCATTTTTCAGATCCCCTTGTTACCCAGTACTCCAGATCCCTCCATACTTTTGACTCTTCTCTCGACCCCCTCTCAGAAACAGACCTAGACGAAAACTCAGATGCAGATTCCGATAGTGATTCCGTGGACTCCGTTTACTCTTCCATCTTCTCCTCTATCTCGTCTTGTTCCAGTTCTACTAGCCCTACCAATACGGGCCCAACCCCGCCAGACAATTTATCCAGGGACAACCCAAGGGATTCAACTCCCACCTTACCAAATATACCTGTTTTCCCCCCACACTCCCTTAACCCGCCTGTCAGAGCTGCCCCGTCAGTCGAAGGACCTCCCAAGAAATGGCGAACCTTTAGAAGTCAAATCCTACGCCGAGTCATCCGTGGACAAGGAGCCAATCAAGTCGATGTGCCCCTTCGACTCTCCATCCCAGACGGACGAACTATCCCTACTACCGCCCTCCTCGACTCAGGCTGTACCAGATCAGTCATTGACACTGCCTTCGTTGCTCGAGAAGCTATCCCTACCTTCCCTATCGCGCCAGTTCCCTCCTACAACGCCGACAACACACTGAACAAGGCAGGCGCCATCACCCGGGCCTGCTATCTCCACCTGTCGATTGGAGACCATACCGAGAAAATCATGTTCGGCATAACCAACCTAGGCACTCACTCTCTCTACCTCGGACATGACTGGCTCAAGTTCCACAACCTGGAACTTGACTGGTCCACAGGCCAACTCTGCTTCTCCCGCTGTCCACGGTCTTGCCACTACGTTCCTCGCACCCAGGACCCTGAGGACACTGACGTCGAACCAGAAACTACCCCTCCGCCCATCCAGCCCAGAAAGCCGAACCTCAAAGATCTCGATGAGGATCTCGAGGAAGGGGACCGACTCTATGCCTTCAGCTGGGACAGCTACACCCGTGCCCTCTCTCAACAGAGGACGTCTTCAGCCGAACATGCTCAGTTCGCCAAAGACCTCAAGGCAACTCTACCTCCCCAAGTCCGCGACTTCTGGTCCGTCTTCGGTGAACCCGGTCATAACGAAAGACTCCCTGATTGGCGACCTTGGGACCACGCCATCGACCTCACTCCGGAGTTCAAGCCTGTAAAGGCCAAGCTTTACCCGGTCCCTAAGTCGCAGCAGAAGGACCTGGATGACTTCATCACCGAGAATCTCCGCAATGGGCAAATTCGACCATCCAAGTCTCCAATGTCTTCCCCTTTCTTCTTCATCAAGAAGGCAGATGGATCTCTTCGACCCATCCAGGACTATCGAAAACTCAACGAAATGACGATCAAGAACCGCTACCCCTTGCCCCTTATCTCGGAGCTCCTCGATAAACTCAAGGGAGCCCGCTATTTCTCTAAGGTCGACATCCATTGGGGATTCACCAATATTCGGATCAAGGACGGAGACGAGTGGAAAGCGGTGTTTCTCACCAACCAAGGCCTCTTCGAGCCCCTCGTCATGTTCTTCGGGATGTGCAATGCCCCCGCCACGTTCCAGCAGATGATGAATGACATCTTCAAGGATCTTATCGAAGACAACAAGATTATTGTCTACATGGATGACATCCTCATCTTCGCCGACACCGAGGAAGAACACTGGTCTCGAGTCCGCGAAGTCCTTGCGCGGCTAGCAAGGCACAAGCTCTCCCTCAAGGTAGCCAAGTGCGAGTTCTGCAAGCCCAAAATCCCGTTCCTTGGTATGATCATCTCAGAAGGACAAATTTGCATGGACCCCAAGAAGACTGAGGCGGTTTCCGAATGGCCTCAGCTGAAATCCAAGAAAGAGGTCCAACAATTCCTGGGATTCTGCAACTTTTATCGCCGCTTTATTAAGGACTTCTCCAAGATCGCTCGACCCCTCACTTCCCTCACCGGACAAGAGCCATTCGTGTGGGGACCAGAACAGAAGAACGCCTTCCAGACGCTCAAAGACACTCTCTGTTCCGCCCCTGTCCTGGCCACTTATTGAGACCTACTCCCTCTGCGCGTCGAATGTGATGCCTCCAACTTCGCACTCGGAGCCGTTCTATCCCAGTTCCAGGATGAGAAATGGCACCCCCTTGCCTATTTTTTCAAGGCCCTGAACGAGACCGAGCGGAACTACGAGATCTACGACAAGGAACTCATGGCCATGATCATATGCCTAGAAGAGTGGCGCCAATACCTCCTCGGGACGGAACACCCCATAGAAATCTGGTCTGATCATCAAAACCTGGCGTATTTCTGCGAACCCCAGAAGCTGAACCACCGGCAAGCTCGTTGGTATTCGGAGCTACAAGACTACAACTTCTCCCTCCACCACAAGCCCGGCTCCTCCATGGGTAAACCAGACGCCATCACTCACCGCCCAGACCTCGATCAAGGGAAAGAAGATAACAAGGATGTTGTCCTCCTTCCGGCCGAACATTTCCAAGTGCGAGCTATCCCTGGTTCTCTCCTTCCCACCCCATCGTCAGCCGTGTTCTACGATCACATTCGCAAATACCGTGCTGCTCGAGACCGAGTGGTCACCGAGGCTCTGGCCCGCAGGGACAAAGGCTGGGAAGAACAGGACGGGGTGGTTGCCTGGAAAGGACGGTTATATGTTCCCCGAGAAAAGGAGTTGCGGGAGGACCTGCTGAAAGCCTATCACGATGCCCCTCTAGCTGGTCCAGGGCATGCCACGATTATATCCGTACGAGTACCTGTATCCGTGGGAACAGGTACTCGTTCCTTCGGAGTCCACACCTGTATCCGGTGTGGCACCCGTGGGAATGGATACTTGTACTCGCGGATACAGGTACCCGCACAAGCACAGGTACTTACGGGTCAGCCATGGCCGCAGGTACACACAGGTACTCACGAATATACCCGCGGGTTTCTTATTGAGAAGTTGAGGTAGTAGTTGCCCGAGTGGCTGGAGGGATCCCAGGGTGAGCAAGAAATATATAATTGGGAGATTTAATATATAAAAGGACGCTAATGATGCTACAAGAAGAAATAAGTAAGAAACTATTGAATAGAAAAATGAAATGAACTCACCAGCAACAGATAGAGAGAAAGCGTGGACTTGCCGTCCAAGCACTCAAAGGCCATTCACGAAAAGGTAACAAAACAAAACAGAACTACGACTGACCATACTTGACAACAACACACCACAACAAGACGACAAAGACACATATATCATACAGAGTTCGAAAAGGCAAGATGCATGATATGAAAGATTGTCCAATAGAAAAAATAGAAAAAGTCCAAACTGGCGAAAAGGGCCCATTCACCGATGAGCCACCGAAGATCCTCTGCATTTTTACGAAGGGAAGGGTAGAAAGGGGTGTGAAGGATACCGAAGTCGCGCTGAAGGGCAGTGGACCAAAATACGAGCAGAGCTGTCTCAATCTTCTTCAGCGCAACAGCATCATCCTCTTCTTCGAGGGACTCCACAATCTCTGGTGTTACCTGGTCCACCGTGAGAACATACATCTTCTCCCCCTTCAAGTCTTCATGCTTCCGCCACAGTGGCTCCAGGTACTGAGACAGATACCAGACCCAATCCAACCGCTCGTCAAAAGATTCACGCTCCCATCCACGAGGTGCACGGTAATCCTCGTAAAAGACACACAGCCAGGCCAAGCACATCCTCTTCTGGAAAGTCGGGTTGGAGGTGAGATGGTCAGGCAGGTCACCGAGAAGAGGGAGATTGGTGTGATGGTGAGGTTCGCCAAGGTCCTGAGTCAGGATGGGGTCGATGAGCGCAAACTCGTGTAAAAGGGCCATCTCAGCAGAAGTGATTGCGAGGAGGGTCTTCAGCTCTGTATCGGTCTCCCAGTCAATCGCGCTGACATCACATCCACAGCTGAGGAGACTTGGGGCGATTTCGGACTCAAAGTCCTCCAACGAGCAAACACCCTCCTTGGCACGTGCTGTAGCCACTGTACCAAACATTTCGTCAAGCCCTGCACGCCAGTAGCGACTCGGATCGAAGGGAGGAAAGGACTCTCCCTGGGGCCACCTGCTCCGAAACTCTGCTCCAGAAGAGATGTTTCGCCACTGTCTCTTGGTGAGCGGGCGAACTGCAGGATCATGGAGAGAGAGGAGGTGGCGGTCGAAGATATGAGGGCGGAACATGAGAAGAAACTTCCAGCGTGTCTTAGCGGTCTCCGGATTGTCGCCTGTGAGGAAAATCTCGTACGGTGGGAACCAATAGGTTTGCGAGGTCTTCTTGTCCTTCAAGTTCTTCTTCGAGACATAGATCTCGAGCTCTGCATGAGTGGGATGAGGCTTTGGGAACCAATCGGGCAACGGCGGCTTTTTCGCTAAAGATGCAAGACTTGAGTTGAATGCCTTGTGATCTGCCGGTTGATTGAGAAGCTGCATGATGGTGTTGTCCTTCGAAGGCTTTTTTGCCCTATTGGTGGCTGATTGTAATCAATAAGTCAGCGATGAAGCAAACAGCGGTCATGGAGTGAAACTTACCACGAATCTTCCGATCTTGAAGATTGGTCTCCATTCGCTGAATATTTCGGAGACGATTGGCAAGCTGGGGTGTTGGCGCTGCCGGATCGGTGCGAACGGTGACACCTCGGGCCTCACGCTCAAAGGCCAGACCATGTGCAAGACGGGGTGGATAGAATATCCTGTCGAGCTTCTGCCAATCATCTAGAATAGCAATAATATTAGCGAGAACGGAAAGAGGAGATAAAATAGAAGACATACCATGAGAAGCAAGACTCTCAATGCCAACCTTATTCCGCCATGGCGAGAAGGATAGTTTTGAGAGTGGCGGATTTGAGCGAGGGATTTCGGAGCAGGCAAGATACACCGGTGCAGTCATGTGGGCGAAGGCGAGAAAGATATCGCTATCCTTGGTCGAGAATATCGACCCACGGAGAGAGCGCTGACGATGGTCGGTGAGAGGGTGGGGATATGACTGGACATCCTGTGCCCAGTAGAGGAAAGTGTTCATCTCGACCATGGTACGTTCATGTGCTCGCATCACCAACACAAACTGCTCCCATCCATAAACACCCCTGACAAGGCGATGGAAAAACTGAAATTCGCGATCCAGGATAAAGCGAGGGAGATTGGTGTCCAAGACATCTCGATTTAGGAGGTTGTGGCACATGAGGATGTTAGGGAGGAACTTTTCGATGGACGCTCTCATTGAGTTGCGTTTCTCGTGGAGTACCTTCATGATGCTCTCATGGGGAGACATCAGCCATGTCCGGGTCTTCTGAGAAGGGAGTGAGGAAGGGAGGTCGGGTGAGTTTATACGCAGGCCTTCGGTCCATAGGGAATGTCGATGCTGGCGAAGAAGTGGTCGACGGAGTTCGGCGTGAGAGATGGGAATATAGAGGAGCCAGGGAGCATGAGGGTCGAACCGCTGTGGATAGAGACTGGGCTCCTTACGCCCCCAATACCCATCATCGTAAACTGTAGAATTCTCGCGAGAGGGTAGGGAGGCTGCGTAACTCGTATTGACACTGAGAATGTTGGTTTCCTGGTCCGCGTAGACATAACCGGAGTAGCGAACCTCCGTTGTGAGTGGAATACGGCCGGTAATATTGGATGGAGGGGAAGCGGGATAGCGAAGGTGGATGGGAGTGGCGTCGGGAGGGACAATGAAAGGCTGGGGGGGAGTTGGTTCCTTCGATGCAACGAACATCGACTCCTCCGGTGCTTCCTCGCCATAGAACTCCCAATCTTCCATTTCGTCGTCACTCTCAACCATGGCAAGCTCGAAGTCCTTCTCCGCGACACCCTCAGCCCTCAACTTCTTTGCCTTGCTCTGCTTCTTTGCCTGTGCTTCACGCTTCGAAAGTGATTGCCACAAGCATATGGTAGCCTGGCCAATATGAGGTTCATTGACGGCAGTGTGGTGGCGCTTCTTCAGTTCCACCTCCTCGCCGGGATGACATGGAGTGAGAGGACTGGTTGGCGAAGCACGCTTGAAGTAGACGAAAAGTTCGGGCTTGAGCTTCTTCTGCGAGAGCCGATGCAAAGTCTTGACCTCGCTGGACGAAGTGGGGTCTACTTTCGTGATTGCACGGGACCATACGGCCCAATTATTGGCTAAGCGATCGAATTAGGCTCAAGTCCATGAGAGAAAGGAAGAAAAAAAACTTGCAGTCATAGAGCGAAGGGAACGGGCTTGAGGGTACGTTTGACATGATTTCAGACGACTAGCGTGTCATAAACAAATGACGGTGTACATCAGTGAGTGTATGTAGCCCGAAATATGAACGCACGCACCAGTAAATTTGAGACAAGCCAAGGGTGTAAGGTTGCTGTACGCGATGAGCACGTTGCACTCCTAGTGATGACGCACGGAGACCGGAACAGACACAACGAGATAGAAAAGATGGTCAGTGTTAGCATGAACATCAAAGTAAATCAAAGTAAAGAAACGCACCAAAAAAGATCAAAAAAAAGTTACCGCTGCAACTAGCCTCTGAATGCAGCGTATCGAAAGCCGAGGGAGGCGTTTCGAAAGCGAGCGGAATTCGTCCGCAGGTGGGGGTGATATCCAAGGCCCGCCCAGGGGTTCGAGGGTGCTGCCTAAGAACCAGAATGGGCCTCAGAGCCGACAACGGAGACGCGACACATTATTCTGATGCTCGAACTCTGTGGGCTCCGTCCAGAAAGGGGCCTGAGGGTCTTGAGGGGGCGTGCGTGAGCGCGTTGCGGGCGGAGGCGTGCAGAGACGCGATAAGGGTGGTAAAGGAAGCGAGCGGAGACGAATTGAGGTGGAGGAGGTGGATGGAGACGCGGAGACGGCGCGTGGATACGCAGAGGATGCGTATACGCGGAGAGGGCGGGTGGAGAGGGCGCGCTAAACAAGGAAACGCATATACTCAGAAACGCGTATACGCAGAAAGGGCGGGTAGAAAAAAACGCACCGATACGCGGATACGCAGAAATGCGTATAAGCAGAGAGGGAGGGCGCGCAGATACGCGTATACGCGAAGAGGGCGGATACGCGTATACGCGGAGAGGGTGCGCGGAGAGGGCGGATGCGCGGAGAGGGCGCCCGTTAACGCGTTGGGGGTGGAGATGGCGGGTGCGGAGGGGATTGAGGCTGGGGAGGGGGCGTGCGGAGAGGGAGAGAGGGCACGCGGAGAGGGAGCGCGGATACGCGAGTACGCGTATTCGCGGAGAGGGCGCGCGTTAACGTGTTAACACGTTGAGAGGGTACGCGTTGACGTTAACGCGGAGAGGGTGGAAAGGGCGGGCGCGGAAGGGATTGAAGGAGGAGAGGGCGGGCGGAGACAAGTTGAGGGGGTAGAGAGGGCGGGCGGAGACACGTTAACGCGGAGAGGGTCCGTGTAGACGCGTTAACGCGTTCAGAGGGTGGGCGCGGAAGGGATTGAGGGCGGAGAGGGCGGGTGGAGACAAGGTAAGGGGGGTGGAGAGGGCAGGCGAAGACGCAGAGAGGGTGGAGGAGGAGCAGGCGGCAACGGAGGAGACAGAGAGAACAGCGGCGGAGGGGCGAAAGACGCGTGGGAGCCGCAACGCTCACTGGCCTGTGCGTGAGAGCGAACTCCGGCATTTGCCATCCGCGAGTATTCGCGTGTCTCGTTTCGTCTCTCTCCCTCTCTCCTTCACACGCCCGCCTCACTCGTCTATCACACCGCCCTCGTCTGGATCGTCTCTCCCTCGCTCTCGTCAACATGGCCCAAAGCTCGTGGAAGCATGCCCGGGGGTGACACGTCGTGTTCCCTGGGATGCCATACAGCTTCAGGGCATGCCACGATTATATCCGTGCGAGTACCTGTATCCGTGGGAACAGAGGCCACACCTGTATCCGGGGTGGCATCCGTGGGAACGGGTATCCATATCCACGGATACAGGTACTTGCCAATGGGCGGGTACTCATGGATAGAGATAATCTACGGGTATTTTGAAGGTACCTGAGGGGTACCCGTGGGTACTGTGGTAAATATGAGCTGGGGAAGGGGGTATAGGGGTACTCACCAGGTCAATACCGTCGTTCTCGATGACGGGCGGGCCAAATTGCATCAAACCAAGGGCAGGGGACGATGCGGGACAATAATCCGCGTCGATTGACCCCGCAACGACGTAGACGTACGCGGAATTGAGTGAGAACGAACAAAATTACTGTAGAGGGAAGCAGGGGGTACTCACCAGGTCAATACCGTCGTTCTCGACGACGGGGGGGCTGAATCGTATCAAACCAAGGACAGGGGGCGATGAGAGACATCCAAACGCGTCGATTGACCCCACAACATCGGAAACGCGCGCCAAACTGAGTGAGAACGAGAAATTTTACGGTTGGAGTGGTAATGGGGACTCACCAGGGTCAACACCGCCGTTCTCGGTGACGAGTGGGCCGTTTCTCGTCAAACAAAATATATGGCCCGATGCAGGAGCTCAAGACGCGTCGATCGATCCAACTATATCGAAAACGCGCGCCCATTTGAGCGAGAACAAACATTTTTACGGTTGGAAGGGTAATGGGGACTCACCAGGGTCAACACCGCCGTTCTCGATGACAGGCGGATTGTTTCTCGTCAAACGAAGTACCAGGGGCGATGCAGGACATCCATATGCGTCGATCGATCCAGCTACATCGAAAACGCGCGCCAAACTGAGTGAGAACGAGCATTCTTACAGTTGGAGGGGTAATGGGCACTCACCGAGGTCAACACCGCTGTTCTCAACGATGAGCGGGCCGTTCCTCGTCAAACTAAATGCAGGGCCCGATGAAGGAGCTCATGACGCGTCGATTGGTGTCATTACTTCCAAAACAACGCGTGATTTGAGCGAGAACGGACAAATTTACGGTTTGAGGGGGTAGTGGGCACTCACCGGGGTCAACACCGCCATTCTCAACGACAAGTGGGCTGTTTCTCAAGAAACAAAATACAGGGCCCAATGCAGGGGATCAAGACGCGTCGATTGATGGTACTACATCAGAAACGTACGCGTTATTGAGCGAGAACGAGCGATTTTACGATGGCAAGGGGGTGGGACTCCAAACTCATTCACTCAAAGACCCACAAGATCCTTATAGAAACAAGTACACAGGATGAGCGGCACCACCATTAATGGAGACACGACGTGTCAATTCCATCACACAGTGATGTACGCTCGGGGAAGTGGGAGAGAGTGAGGAGGAGAGCGAGGAGAGATCGGAGTCGCTGGACAAACATCTGGCCTCCGGCAAGCTCCGGCCTGGAAATGACAAATATGGCAGGTACTCTCCCACGAGTACCTGTGAGCCCCGGCATCAGACCTGTATCCGTGCGCACACCCGTGGGAACGAGTATCTGTATCCACGGATACAGGTACCCGATGGTGTGCCTTACGAGTATCCATTGCAGGTACTCACGGGTCCTGGTACTCGTGGCATGCCCTGTACAGCTTGCTCTGGTACTTTGGCGACCTCTTCGACGTCGACAGGGCTCAAGGGCTCAACACTGACTCGAGGGTCCGTGTTCATGGTCCTGCTCTGTGCCCTCCTCCATTCTCATCTTGCTCGACGTTTATTTATTCCGCAGGTGATTCCGGCTTCTCACGGGCTCTCAGTCATAGGCATGTTTTCACTTTTATCTCCACGATGCTGTTATCTTTGCTGATTTTTTCCTGTTGGTTTCCAGGTGTGATCCTGCCCGTTCACATGCGGCCACTGCACAGGCACCTATAATATTTTCTTGTGAGTTCGTATTCGGTTTCTGCATCACGATGTTGATCGTCGACTGATCCATGTTTTTTTTTCTTACGTCCAGCGAGAGCAACGGTGAGTACTTCATGCCCTTTCTCTGTACGCATTGGCTAATCACAATCGTTGACGGGTTCAGATGATCCAGCCATGCTTCATACACGCTTTGATTTGCAGATATCGAGGCACATATACCATGGTGTGTCTGTTTGTCATTTACTAACCTTATTGTGTTTACTCACTCAATTTGTGCAACATTTTCCCACAGATCATCGAACTTTGCACCGGTCTCGCACTATACGCCTGGTACAAACATGTCTATCATCAATTCTTGTACGTATTTCCCTGCGGCTTGACCTTCATGTCGCTGATCAGGTGCTGTCCGTCCTCATACCTCCAGTTCGAACTTGGGGGGAGAGGCCATTGCTATACCTAGCATGGCAAGCACGATGCCTGGTTTTTTAATTAGTTTAATGTTTATTGTTTTTATTTACTCAAGACTTTTGTATTACTCAGAGGTCATATATGTCATCATCTGCTGACCCATTTAAGACACTTTTGATGATTGTGCAAGGCTCAGACTTATGTTAGTACACATGGGCTCTACCATCATTCTTCCTTCCTCCCCCGCCGCCGCCACCATTCTTTATCTCCTCATTCCTCCCCTCCACCATCTTCCCCCATCCCTGCCAAGTCCCAGGAGCTCCATGCCTGCCTTGTCATGCTCCGTACCCAAGAAGATATTGATCTACTCCAGTATAAAGATGTATTGTCGTCAA